AAGAGTGTGTAAGATATGTCTATGCAGAAGAGTGTGTAAGATATGTCTATGCAGAAGAGTGTGTAAGATATGTCTATGCAGAAGAGTGTGTAAGAGCAGCTACTTCTCATTTGGTTCAGATTTTCATGCTTGACTGGTTGGAGGCCCTCATTTTACTTCATATTCATCTTTCTATTAATAACATTAATAATGAATCCCAGGTTGTGATTCACTTGAACCTTCTGAGTAAATGTTCATTTTCTGGTGTCTTGAAATGTGTATCACAGACACTGTATTTACATGTATGATTGGATCTACTACCAAATATATAATTATTTTTCAAAGATTCTAATTTCTTGTATTCCATTCCGTTATGTAGTCAATTTGGAATAAATCAACTTAAAAGCCAAGTCCTTTCAACATTAAATATATGTCTTATCATAACGAAAGTTAAGTCTTAATAACTGGCCTTATACGTCTCCAAGGGGACTCAGAAAAGGCTGACATTGTATATCATAGTGGATTTAAAGAATAAATATTAATTCTTTAAATTATAATCTAGTAAACTAACTCTGTTTCTTCATTTTGTAAAAATTAAGATATGCACAGAGAAATGTAAATATATGCATGGGTAAATAATGTTTTCTTTTCTCAGGTGGACAGCAGCAAAGAATCAGCTGAAGCAGCTTGTGATATATTATCGCAACTTGTGAATTGCTCTTTAAAAACACTTGGACTTATTTCAACTGCTCGGCCAAGCTTTATGGATTTACCCAAGGTATCTGCTGGTTTTGTTTTATTAGCTCTTACTGAGAAATTCAGTGAAACCCTACCCATTTCCTGTACTGAGAAAGTGTAAGAAAAGTAGTACATATAATGGAAAGCCAGTTACTGTTTAGAATGTTAAGCAATAGGATTTTTTTAAAAGCTTTTCCTTTTTTTCATCACCTTGTGCTTCTTCATGGGTAAGGTTAAAGAGTGAATGAATTTGCAGAGGATTCTATAGGAAGTACTAAAAGAGACTAAGTAAAATGGAGAAATAGGCATATTAGGGAAAAAAGATATGAAGATGCTCTTTTTTAGACTTTCAGAGCAGATTGGTGAAATTATAATCAAAGAAAAGTAGACAGTGCCAGTATTGAGAGCAGATATTGCTTACTTATGAAATATTTTGTTAAGTGTGTAAAGATTTATTCTTGAGGAAAGTTAGTATCAGTATAGCTTGGATTAATTTACAGGTTTTATTTAAAGAACACATTTTTTTTGGTGAAGAGTTAACTATTTATATTCATTTGTATGTTCTAACATGATCCTGCATGTATAGAGAGAGTCTCTCTCTTACTATTGTCTTAAAATAGAAAAATAAGAAGTGTGCATTTTTAGAAAGCCAACTAATAAAGGCCCCTGAGTATGTTAGCCAACGTTCCGTAGGTTAGTATCCAACGATAATTTGAAAGTTTCTCTCAGAGTACACCACAAACTAAAATATAGACCCCCTTTAAACACCTAACAGTTTAATCTACTAGGATGATTCAGGAAAAAATATTACAAAATTGAGTGTATATTATACCCCAAGTGGTTCAATGGAATATCAGTAACAAATGTATCACCAGTTAATTTCAAAGTCAATTGATTTTTAAAAAGGTTTATTAAATATGTACATTTGAGATAAAATGAGATAAAATGTTTTCCTCATGTGTAAAATAAGGGAAATAGGCAAGAGAATCTCTGTTCATTTCAATATAAGATCCTAAGTACATGAGTTAGATCACCGTTATTCTCAAACTTAATGTGCATAAAAATCATCTGAGGAACTTCTAAATTTTGGATTATTATCCCTATTCCAAATTTCCCCTTCCTAAGAGCAGTCCAGGTGATTCTGATGATGGTTCAAGGACTTCACTCTAAGAAGCACTGAGTTACATGGTATAGTAGCACCTTGTTCAAGCTTCACATGGGAAATGAAATGTTCTGAATTGATTTTCTATGTACATACCATAATTAAAAAACAAATATACATACAGTATATATAAAACATTCCATATTAAAAGGTATGTTGAGCATAATTTAATTTCCTTTTTTTTCTTACTACTCAGGATTATCATTATGCATATCTAATATGAGTACTAATATGTAGTAGTTTTGTCTTTGGGAACTATTGATGTATCTAGGACTACTTCCTTATTAAATGGGCATAGGATGCTTATACTGTTTTTCTTCTTTCCTATTACGGCTTTTGTAGAAGATTGAAATAGGGTGTTGCTATATCTTGGAAATCCTGGGGGAACTCAAGAGAACATGAAAGAAGTGTATTTGAGCAGAGCTAAATCTAAGGGAAATGGAAAAAAGAAGGCAGTGATGCAGTCATGAGTATGCTAATGAATAAATATGATTGTACAAGATATAATTGTTTGATATGAAAATATTAGGAGAAAGATGTTAACATTTAAGTAGTTAAACAGTTACTTAATCAAAATTTAAGTAGTTAAGCCATTATTTAATCACAGTAGGGAAAAGTTAGGGAATGTGACCAAAAAGATAATATTTCATTATATTTTCTTGGCTATTAGCCTGCCCTTTTCACTGCTGTAGTGAATTTATAAAGCTAAGTGGAGGGTGAGATTGGTTATGTAGAGGAATGTGTTGGCACATGTATTGGCCTCTCTTTCCTTACTCTCCTGGATTCTTTGTCTGTTGACTATGGCTTAGCTCGGATTCAAAGTTGCATACTTTAACCATGTTTTAATTCCTGATTCCCTAAAGTGGTTCCTTTAGGTCAGATTCTGTGTCCAACAGATACTTATATGGATATGATAAATAGAATGATACTAATTGGTACATTCGTGGAAAAAATACATTAAAATAAAATAGGCTTGAAAATATTATAGATAATATAACATTTAAAGGAGTTTTAAATTTGGAATTTTACTTAGGTATGGTTTTGAATATTTCAGAATCGAATTTTATATGATCTTCCATATTCCAAATGAGTTTTTCATAGCTTCTGAGTTGATTGTTATTTTAACTTTTAATGATTATGCTAATAGTTATTTCTATTTTTAATGGTCATTACTGTCAGACCAGGAATAATGCATTTCTCTGTTATAAAACACTAGAGTAGAGTTTCCAGATAAGATGATGTGAAGTGTCTGAAAGGTATTCTCATCCTGGATTCCAGAATTCCTCCTTTTACTTAGCAGTGATTGTTGTGATTTAGAAACACTCATCCTGAGGCTTGAAATCTTTTTTTTCCTTCAGGTAAAAAGGCTCTTCTTAAAGATGGCAGATAGTCACCTCTATTTTTAACCATACTCCCAACAACAGAGTGAAGGGATGCTACCCCTAAAATAGTTAGGAAATACGTCATTAGGGTTCATATGAACCATATGTGTATTATATGAAAACCCCTCAATTCTCATTTGTAAAAACTGAAACAGTGTTTTAATTTTTTTGCTTTGCAGTCTCACTTTATCTCTGCACTGACGGTTGTGTTTGTAAACTCCAAATCCTTGTCCTCGCTTAAGATAGATGATACCCCAGTAGACGACCCATCCCTCAAAGTACTAGTGGCCAACAACAGTGATACACTCAAGCTGCTAAAAATGAGCAGTTGTCCTCACGTCTCTCCAGCAGGTATATTGTGTTTGTTGCCAGGTAACATTTTAGTAAAATGTATTGATGTGTTTATCAAATTAAGAAAAACTTTGATTATTAACCTATACATGAGTTAATATGATTATTTCATCTCTTTTGCATAAAAATCTTTTTAATGTCATAATACAATAGCATAAATTCTGTAGCATTCCTAGCCTAGATGCTTACTTTCAACTTATTTTCTAATCTTATTTGGCAGTTTGTGTCCAACCTGTGCTAGAAAATGGATAAATTAAGAAAAGGAAAGGAAAGGACAATCTGAGGTCTGCCTGAGGTACCCCTTTGGGTAAAACAGAATTTTCTCTAATTGTAGTTGAGTTAACAGGGTAGGTTTTGAGTCAGAGCAATCTCATAATTGCTTTCCTTCTTACTATGTAGAGAGAGAAGAGTTGTGCTGAAGTTGTTGCCTTCATCTTTTGCAAGATAATGCTTTCCCTAAGTTGAGTTTTGGAGCCGAGAGCCCACCAAATGTGGGAATAGCATTATAAAAGCTCTGTCCAATTTTCCTTGTATAGAATTTTCTAAGCATCACTGCATTATTCAGTTTAACATCATTGAAATTCCAAATGGTTTGTATTGTAAAGTAAGTCTAAACCCACACTTCGTATTACTCTCTGACGCTTCACACCTGACTCATCCTCCCACTATTGACATCCTTCCCAATCCTGTGGCTATGTTACTTGGGAAACCTGTTTTTAAGGGACAATGTTAAATCCTTGATCTCTTTATAGAACACTTCCCACTTTCTTGCCGTAACTAAAGCCTGGCCTTCCCCCCGGAGTGATTCCCTCTTGGATGGAGATTACTTGCTCATTCTCCCCTGTCTCCTACATGGAGGGTCTTCGTAATGGGAATGGCTAGCTCTATTGCAGTATTTTCGTAACTTCTTGTGCCACCACTGAAGGTGATAATCTAAATAAAATAGAAGTTAAGAAGAATGGGCTTTGGCAATTACTTCTTATATAACCTTGGTCACATTTTACTATCTACTGTATAGGTTTGCTATGAGAGTAAGGTCCATACTTCATAGCTTCACAGTATATGACGTCCTTTGTATCCTGACCTCTACCTGTCTCTTTAATCTTGTTTGCTGCTCACTCGTGTGCAGCTTGTACTTGAGCCCTACATACCTATAGTTCTTTGTACCTTTGTGGTCAGTGCACTGTACCTTGTGGAATACCTTTTTATTTTTCTACTTCTTCTTCTAGCTAACTCCAGCCCAGCCTTCACTGTTCAGCTCAGGTGTTGCAGTTTTGTTCCTGTTTCCTCCTCCTCTCTGGTTTAGATCCCCCACCGGTTTTTCCATAGCACTCTGAACATAACTTGTAGCAGTTACCACACTGTATGAGACCTTTGGGTCTCTGGTTTCTCTGTGAGACTGTGAGCTCATTGTTCTCTTTATCCTGGTACATCCCATGTTCACTTATTTTTATTAAACATACACATCAGTTCGGATAGTATAGTATAAGCTTGCTTGGTCTTACCTAATGGCTTTTGGACTAGCTTTTCAGGAAGGGAAGGGAAGAGAAAGAGCACTTGTAAGACTTTTTAATTTAAGAGTTTAACTATAAAATATTTTAATTTAAAATTTAACGTATTTGCCTATTTTCTTTCTATCCATATTTGGACAGTTTCTTTCTCCAAGTTAAAATTAAGGACTATTTTCTATTCTTTCTTCACTGAACATTTTATCAGACTTTTTTCCCATTTCATATAGTCCTTATAATTGTATGTTACTGGACTTCTAGGCACCATTTGACAGTAGTAACTGTTGTCTCTTTCATATCTTACTCATGCTTTTCTTCCTTCCTCTCTGATTGTTCCTTCTCTGTTTCCTTTGCTGGTTTCTCTTTCCATTCTTTATATTTTGATGTTTCACTGTGTTCTGTACTGGGTCCCTTTCTGTTTTACTCTGTAAACTCTGGGCTGTGTCATCATCATCTATGGCTTGAGTTATGTTCTTTATGTTAATATCTCTCACTTTCAGTGTCTCTGGAACTCCAGAGCTATGTCTTGAGCTGCCAATGGCCCAGTGCCTCTAGAATGTCTCACTGGTACTTTAGACTAATGAACTTCTTTTTCCCCATCCAAATCTCTTGCTTTTCCCTTTTTACTATCTTAGTGAATGGCACCATCCATCTAGTTGTCAGGGACCTGGCAGACATCGTTGATTCCTCCTACCCTTACTTTCTACCTCCCTTCAGTCACTGAGGTTTGGTGACTCTGTCATTGAAATTTGCCTTGAATCTCTATGCTATGGACTGAGTGTGTCTTCCCCTCCCTCCCACCCCCATTCATATGTTGAAGGCCTAATCCCCAATGTTATGGTATTTGGAGGTAATTAGGTCATGTGGGTGGAGCCCTCATAAATGGGATTAGTGCTTTTATAAGAAGAGACAGGAGAGAGATGATCTTTCTTTGAGCCATGTGAAGACACAGTGAGAAGGTAGCCATCTACAAACCAGGAAGAGTTCTGGTTCTCACCAGAACCCAACCATGCTAGCACTCTTATTTTGGACTTCCAGCCTCGAGAAGTATGAGAAATAAATGATTATCGTGTAGGCCACCCAGTCTGTATGTTCTGTTAAGCAGCCAGGACAGACTAAGACCACTCTACCTTTCTTGTTGTCCACTCTTACTACTCTAGTCCAGGCCTCCATAATCTTTGTGCAGTACCCTCTTAACTGATTTCCTAACTTGCATCCTTGCTCTTCTCTAATCTCATTTCCATGCTACAGCCAGAGTAATCTTTATAAAATATAAATCTGATTTTTTTTCCTCCAGCTTCCTTCAAAACTTCTCACTATGCTTTAGGTAAGATCCAAATTCCTTACCGATGCTGACAAGGTTCCATATGATCTGCCTTGCCTTGCCTATCTATTGGGCTTCATCTTTCAAGATATTCTCTTACTTGCACACTCTGTGTTCAGCTCCCTTCAGTTCTTAGAACACTTGTGTTTTCTTCCATGTCTGGGTGTTCACAAAGGATGTACTGTTCACTTTGCTTCTTCACTTGCTTTTTGCCCTAGCTTAATCCTTCTAATTCTTATGTCTCACTGTATTAGTTCTGGGAAATCTTCCCTGATTCCCTTGTTATGACTCCCAGAGCATTCTTCTTTAATTATCTGCTGCCTTCCATTAGGATAAGGATGTCTTGTTCCTGTTGTATCTTTACCATCCTAGCACCAATGCTTGACATATAAGACACTCATTAATTATCAGCTAAACTAATGATCATTTAGTTACTTAGTATTCTATCTTTTTAATAAGCCAACATTTGTCTTACAGTTCTTTGAAGGTTGGACACTTAACTGGTTTCCACATTTTTGCTGTAATTAAAAAAATGAACTATTTTGGCACATAGCAGTTTGCTTCTATTAATTTCTTCCTTAGGGACAAATTATTAAGAAGTGGAAGAGCTAAGTCAGAGGGTCCAGATCTTTTTTATGCTTCTTGCTGTGTTTTTTTCCAAATGAGTTGTATGAATTTATAATGTCACCAACAATGGATTTCTATACCAGCTTTGTAACAGCTTTAATTAAGGTATAATTCATGTACCATACAGTTCACAATTTATTGGCTTTTAGTATATTGACAGAGCAGTGCATCCATCACTACAATCAATTTTAGAACATTATTATTAATTATCCCAAAAAAGAAACCACATACCTCTTAGTTGTCACCTCCTCAAAAACCCTCATCTCAACCAGCCCTAGGCAACCACTAATTTACTTTCTGTCTCTAAATATGCCTATTCTGGACATTTCATGTAAATGGAATCACACTATATGTGGGCCTTTGTGACTGGCTTCTTTCACTTAACGTGATATTTTCAAGGTTCATCCATGTTGTAGCATGTGTCAGTATTTCATCGTGTGGATATACCACATTTATCTGTTGATCAGTTGATGGGTATTTGGGTTGTTAGCACTTTTTGACTATTATGAATAATGCTGCTATGAAAATTTATATACAAGTTTTTGTGGGGGCATATAGTTTAATTTCTCTTGAGGATATACCTAGGAGTGGAATTGTTGAATCATATAGTAACTCTGTTTAACCATTTGAGGAACTGCCAGACTGTTTTCCAAAGCAGCTGCACCATTTTACATTTCCAGTAGCAGGTTGTGTGAGGGTTCCAACTTTTCCACATCCTCACCAACACTTATTATCTGTCTTTTTGATTATAGCCATCCTAGTGGATGTGAACTGGTATCTCATTGTGGTTTTGATTTGTATTTTCTTGATGACTCAAATGTCTTTCCATGTGCTTATTGATCATTTGTATATCTTCTTTGGAGAGATGTCTATTCAGATCCCTCACTTATGTTTTAATTAGGTTGTCTTTTTGTTAATTGAGTTGTAATAGTTTACTAGTTTTATCTTTATCACTATTTTGTGTTAAGTATTTAAACACTTGTAACTATGTATTAGTTTTCTATTGCTGCATAACTAATAACTGCAAATTTAGCAGCTTAAACCAACACCCATTTATTAGCGCCACAGTTCTGTAGGCCAGAGCTATAGGGCGTGGCTCAGCTGGCTTCCCTGCTTGGCCAGAGAAACTGAATCTCCCTGAATTCCTCTTCTGCAACCAGCCAGAGAAAATTTGACTTTTAAAGGGCTCATGCGATTAGATTAGAACTACCTGGATAATGTTATTTTAAAGCCAACTGTGCCATATAACATAACATAACAATCATGGGAGTGATATCACATTCACAGATTCTGGGAATTAGGGTGTGAAATCTTGGGAACTACTTTTAGAATTATGCCTGACACAGCTGCTTTAATAGTTATTAAGTGATATCTCAAAGTTTCCTTTATTGGCATCTTTGGTTACCATTTCCCATGTGTTTGTTTTCTTTTTATATCAGGCTTTATGAGGTTGCAAAGAACAGAGATGTGCTCAGGTTACCTTGGGTGATCAGGGTTCATACCTTGTGGAGAACAGAAACTTTGCAGTAGCTGAGTAGTGAAGCACAGATATCTTTTACTCCCTCTTCTGGTGACTCTGTTAGACTGATGATTCTGTTTCTCTCTTCACTGATTCTGTTGCCTATATTCTCCTCCCACTACTATAAAGCTTTTGGCTTATTGGTGGCCTCTGTCTTGTCACTTCTTAAGCAGAAGTTAAGCTCATGAACTTAAGAGTCATGCAGTCTGTGTTTGAATCCCAGCTTTGCTATCTTTAGCTAGCTGCCTCAACTTAAATATAGAAATAATACTTATTTTTCTAAATTTATTTGAGTATTTGTGGGATAACATATGTAGTGTCTGACATACTTGTACAATAAATAGTAGATAATATGATGTGTGTTTTATTGTTCCTATCCTTGTTTCCAAACACAAGAAGGAAATGGTTTGTGGGTCATTTATCAAGTACTATAGGGTGTCCCTTTGGGGCAGAGTTGTTAGACTAGGCCACTTCAGAGATCAGATATTGACCTTTGGTAAAGTCATCTGCTAGGGGTTTTGGGCAGTTTTGAAGCATAGCGCCCTAAGTATAGGGAACCATTTAAGGAACTGCTTTCTGTGTGAGAGCTTTAAAAGTCATCATGTGGGCCGGCCCCGTGGCTTAGGGGTTAAGTGCGTGCGCTCCGCTACTGGCGGCCCAGGTTTGGATCCCAGGCGTGCACTGACGCACTGTTTGACGGGCCGTGCTGAGGCGGCGTCCACATACAGCAACTAGCAGGATGTGCAGCTATGACATACAACTATCTACTGGGGCTTTGGGGAGAAAAAGGGGAAGAAAAAAAGGAAGAGGATTGGCAATAGATGTTAGCTCAGGGCTGGTCTTCCTCAGCAAAAAGAGGAGGATTGGCATGGATGTTAGCTCAGGGCTGATCTTCCTCATCAAAAAAAAAAAAAAATGTCATTATGTATATTTCCATTAATGTGAATTGGTTAGTTATCTTTTCACTCATTTATCTAGTGGCATCTTGGTATTTTTTTCTTAGAAATTTGACAAGCAAACTCTTTTTTGTTTATTTGATTAAAATCTTTTTATTTTTCAAATGTTTTATTTAGTTACATCAATCATATTTTATCTGGTTTTACCTTATCTTGCTTTTTTTATTAGGTTTAGGTTTTGAATTTCAAAAAATGTCCTATGGCCTCTGTTGCAATGATCATTTAATTTTTCTTGCTTAAACTGTAAGTTTACTGTTAGTAATCAGTTTTTTAAAAAAATAGGACACTGTCCGTACATTACTGGAATAAACTTTACTGTCACGGTGTATTTTAAAATGACATAGTTGTTTATTAATAATTTACGATTTTTCTGAGTTCATTTCTTCTTAAGGTATTGGATTTAGAATTGGTCTCATTTTCTTATAGACAAAATTAGTAATAGATTTTTAAATGTTTGTGACTTCCTGTTCCGTTCAACCATACAACTGAATTTTAAATTGTATAGTTTTATGGTAAGGGAAATATGGTAAAATTTTATTGTGGGACATGTACTTGATTAAATTTTTGAACAGATGATGAACTTGTACAAAAATTTGTAAATAATTAGGTCTTTTTTCTTCCAAGGTATCCTTTGTGTGGCTGACCAATGTCATGGCTTACGTGAACTGGCCCTGAATTACCACTTGTTAAGTGATGAATTGCTGCTTGCTTTATCTTCTGAAAAACACGTTCGATTAGAACATTTGCGTATTGATGTAGTCAGTGAGAATCCTGGACAGACACACTTTCATACTATTCAGAAGAGCAGCTGGGATGCTTTCATCAGACATTCACCTAAAGTGAACTTAGTGATGTATTTTTTTTTATATGAAGAGGAATTTGATCCATTCTTTCGGTATGAAATACCTGCTACTCATCTTTATTTCGGAAGATCAGTAAGCAAAGATGTGCTTGGCCGAGTGGGAATGACCTGCCCTCGACTAGTTGAACTAGTAGTGTGTGCTAATGGATTACGGCCACTTGATGAAGAGTTAATTCGCATTGCAGAACGTTGCAAAAATTTGTCAGCTATTGGACTAGGGGAATGTGAAGTCTCATGTAGTGCCTTTGTTGAGTTTGTGAAGATGTGTGGTGGCCGCCTGTCTCAATTATCCATTATGGAAGAAGTATTAATTCCTGACCAAAAGTATAGTCTGGAGCAGATTCATTGGGAAGTGTCCAAGCATCTTGGTAGGGTGTGGTTTCCAGACATGATGCCCACTTGGTAAAGACTGAATGATGTAGGGCATGATGAATAGCACCTTAACTTTAAGCATATTGTATTATAATACAAGTTTTATTTCCTGTAGTTCTGATGTAATTCTACTATTTTGTGGCATGGAAATTTGATATCTGCATTGAGTATATAAGGACTGTTTGTTGGAGGACCCATGGACCAGTTTTGGTCAGAAAACTTCATCTGTTTCTTTACCCTAATAGCAATCAAATGTCAGAAATTTTTTTTTAAAATGTGGTTCAGATCTGAAAGTAATAACCAGTTATAAAGAGTAAACATTTTACAATCTGAAGGAAACAAAACCTATATATTATAATATTCAAGAAGTGAATACTAACAGATTTTCCAAAATGTTCTCTATGCATTTTTTAAAAAATGTGAACTTGACATTTAGTTAGGGTCTTCAGTTATACTTACACCTGTTATAAGGTGTTTAATATAGCTCAGGAAAGTGAGCACTTTGTGAGAAAAATGTAGGATATATTGTATCTAATGAAAGAGATTGGTTGAATGTTCTCAAATGTTACAGAGCTATTTAAAGAGGTATATATAGGTAATTGGAACACTTAGAAAACTGATAAAATTGTCACACAGTGGTTAGGATAGAAGGATAATAAACAGAGCCAAGATGAAATTAAAAGAAAATAAATGGAATAGAAGGGAGGCAGCATTTAGCTTTGTATAAACTCTTAGGTCTGCTCTATAATCTGCTAAACCATATAATTCTTTTCTGTGATATGTTACTGTGCATGTGGCACTTGAGGCATCATGTGTAAAGGAAGGAATGCTTTACCAGTTCTTGGTTTTGTTCGTCTTTGTTTAAACTAGTTTTGAAATATTATACAGTAATTGAAATGAAAAGCTTATCTATTTAAAAAAGCCAAATTGAAATAAAGGTAGAACTTCAAAATGTTTATAAATTGTTTCCATGAAAGAATATTACTCTCTAGTGAATTTTAGTGATGGCTTATTTTTCCATTTTGGAATTATATCGTTATGTAAGTAGAATTTTCAAAATCATAAAAGGAGCACCAGTGTACAGTTCAGCATAAAGAGCAAATTTAAGAGATATATTTAAATTCATAATCGTATTTTTGAGTAAATATTGCTCAGTGGGCTGGAAAATTTTAATAGAAAAATGTTTGCAATTTTGTGATTGTTAATTTGGTTAAACTGATATATTATTTAAGTTAGGTAGCATTTTTATCACTTTCATATGAATAAAGGTAATCCATACATTGTAGAATCTGTAAAAATGTTGTTTTGGGCTACATTTAGTTTTTTAGATATTATATAAACTTTGATTCTGAGCACTAGTGCTAGTAGATCCTACCATCCTAAGGGGAATTAGAAGTGATTTACCCCCAATGGAATATATTAATGCTTGAAACTTGGAGAAAGCATCTCCGTAGTTATGGAAGCTAACAGTTTTACAAATCTAATCTATTTTTAAAATAGGTTAGCTTCCTAAGAATAAAGTAAAATGTGATTTTCTACATAATTTATGCTTTTCAAAAGTGATGGTATTCTGGCCACATATAAATGAGAAGAGGAAAGGCTGATCCAGACTTGGAAATGAAAAGCAATTATTGTAATATTTTCCCATCTTACTAAATAGTAAAAAGCTTCGATTGTGCAAGAAATACCTGTGTTAGTGGATATAGCTCTTTTTCCTTGAATAACTTTGGAAAATGGATTTGACAGTACATAATCAGTTCTACTAACCAAAGCTTTATTGGGAAGTTTACTTTTTGTACAAATTGAATTATATAATGCTTGAAATACTTTGTCACTTTATAAGCAAAATACATAGCACTTAATTTGTTTATACTGTAAAGTATATGTTAAATGCTTTTATCAATTTCAGAATAAAGATAGTTACTAAGGCTTTTGTGTTATTACAGTTCTTAAAAACTACACTAACATATACTTATTTGATTTTAAAACAAGTTAAATTTACAAATTTATGGTTTTAGTTTCAAATCTATATTTGATGGATATAATGCTTAATAATAAATAATGTTTCTGGTAGAGTGGCTTTTTTGAAGATACAAGATTAGGCAAATGGAATCTATTCTTGAAATAAGCTCTGATGCCTGAAGTGATTAATTTAGGAAATAAAAAATCGACCATGAAATGTAAATTTATTTTTCAGATTTTATAAAGAAAATGGTTCAATTAAAAATAAGGAATAGGTTCTTTCTGCATTTAGAATAAGAATTTATAAAACAGATTATTTAGAAATAGAATTCTTAGGGTCGAACTCAGCTAGCCTTTTTAGAGAGAAATGTCTTTATATATAAATATATCCATACACTAAGAAGAGTTTTTAAACTATTGAAATTATTTTCATCTCCTGTCTTAACAGCTTCCAGAAAAGAACTTCAATTTACCTTGATAATGTGGACTGAAATTTTAACAATATTATCAGAAAAACACAGGCATGATTGAAGATTAAATCAATTTACTGCATTCAAATAATTTTTTATATTTATGGAAAAGCTTAGGATTAGAAGGGAGAGTTGGTGTAAAGAAGGCTCAGGCCTGAACTAGGTCCTTCAAGAAGCTATAATTAGGGGCTGGCCCTGTGGCTTAGCGGTTAAGTGCGCGCGCTCTGCTGCTGGGCAGCTCGGGTTTGGATCCTGGGCGCACACCGATGCACTGCTTCTCCAGCCATGCTGAGGCTGCGTCCCACATACAGCAACTAGAAGGATGTGCAGCTATGACATACAACTATCTACTGGGGCTTTCGGGGGGAAAAAAGGAGGAGGATTGGCAATAGATGTTAGCTCAGAGCCAGTCTTCCTCAGCAAAAAGAGGAGGATTAGCATGGAT